CGAAGGATGGATTAGTAAACGTTGGAATCTTCGTTCGTCAATCCGAAGTTGGATTAGTCGCAAGGAGACTCGCGTTCAGATCACCGTTAGTTGATCCTGAGCCCAGGGATGATCACCAGAGAATGGTGTCGTTGACGTAAGAAGATAACAGAGATCGGTGAGATGGGATGCTGTAGGAAATGCAGGAGAGTAAGCAGGAAATGCTTAAAACACGCCACGTGCAGTGGTAGCCGGAAATGTGTGTATTTCAGGGTGTGTACGGCAAAATAAAAAGTGCGTAGAATTTTAACAAAAACGTACTAAAGGTAGGAGAAGGACCTAAAATAGTGACATCGAAAATAAGCGAGTAAAATGGGCAGCCATGTACAGCGTTTATATCGTTCTTGAAGTGGGGAGAGGGGGATAAGTATTCTCGTCGTTCCCTCGTCTCGTGCATGCCGGACCCATGGTAACAGACACATTCGGTTATGGCGCGTTTGGAGCCGGCTGCCGTTCTCACGGCCGACGTCACATGCGTGGCGTGCTCTCTGCGGCTGCGAGTAGCGTATTTTCAGGCTGCGTGGCTTCTTACGTCGTAGTTTTTGGCGGTATGAGATTCTTGTCTGCAGTCAGCCATATGAGAGAAACTGCGTGTAAACACTGGATACAGGCACTGCACACAGCTGCCTAGTGTACTCAGTTATTTTCTATGTCATTGTAAAGGCCCGATGATGAATAACCAATAACAGCTGTTTGCCAATACGAATTTATCAGAAGAGAGCTTTTGAAAATTTCAAACGTCGTAGCCATATATTAAGTGATTTTTACTTTTCATTTGCTATCCAGGAACGAGCAATGACGCGTACCTTTTGCTCGAATAAATAATGTAAGTTTCAAACCTTGAACTAATAGTGATTAATTGTGACCGAAATATCAGGGACCTTGAAAGAGCGGATTCATCGAAGCGTAACGTTTTTCAAAAGTGGTGTGTGTTAAAGGATCCAATATTACGGGTTTACAAACTTGGGGGAATGATTGTCGGCTTGTCAACCGATGAAGCTATCAAAAGGTTAAAGAAGCAGCTTCGCAGTTTTCGCTCTTTGCACACATTATCTTTCCTTCCCACCTCGCGCGATTACATATTGAATGGCTACGTGCCATACGCGTTATTCTACATTTTCATCATCTTCTTTTTCTTCGCTGTCAAAATCTTCGTTTTGTTCCAATATTCACTGAAAGTATTGTAAGTTTTGTGCGCGCCTTACATTTTTTAGTATGCTGTGGGATGTGCTAATGATTACCAGCGTCGCGTTCACCAGCTTGGTATGCACTTTGATAGTGTACAATCGCACCTGGTCAAGGAAGCAGTATATTCTTAAAAAAATAGATGAAATAATGTCCAACTTAGAAGGTACTCTGCTGACTGTCACTAGTCTTACTGTTAAGATTTGCGCACGGCGGACTTGAAAAAAGAATATGTTTCGAAATTTCTGCCTAATTCAATGAGTTACAGCTTCCAATGGACTTTTCGTGACGGTTCATTAGTAAACGTTCCTGTTTGCTTGCTTGTGGACAGTGATATAATAGAGTTGCGTCCGGGCCAAATCGTCTTAGCAGAATGCACTTCTTTATGCGAGAGTCAGGTATACACTTACAATTTGTTTTTGAAGACATTTTAGGCACAAACCGTTCATTTTAAAGTTGGCGATGTGTATTTGCCACAGAAGCACTTTTCAATTCACGGTCGCAGCTCTTCACCAACCGTCCACAATTTTAAAACGGCTCAACCGGCTGTTGTAACGGCAACCCCGATTATTCCTATAATCAACGAGATTCTTGGCAGCGATTCGCAGAAAAAAGACCCTTTCCTCCGATCAACAGTTATTATGTGCTTTAAGCGGGGCATTATTTTCTCCTTCGCTCTCAGCATTAGCTGCTTAATCGCCGTATTTTGTGTCTGCAGTTCTCGATCAAGTTTACAAAGCAATGCCTCCCATATCGCAGCAGTTCATGAATGGGTCTTTGCGGCGTCTTCTATGACATTCTTTACATCAGTTGTTATCCACCTCCCACTCTTGTGGATTTTCCTCCTCACATTCAGTGTAATCTCTTTGCAGCATTGTATGCAAAAAATCCCATCATTCTGGCATAACACTTTGCATCCTGCATTACGAGACCCATCAAACTCTTCTTGGAATGCTAAATGGTCCAACTGCTGGCCGTTCTGCAAAATCCGAACAAGCAGATTTAGTCGATTTTGGAAGAACTGCTTAAATGAGGTCAGTCGATTTTTCTCCTCTGAAAGGTTTCTAATAATTCTTTTATAAATTAAATGTTTAATTATCATAACTCGCGTTACTTTTATTACTTGAGTAAGACAGTTAATTGGTGTGAATTCACCATAATAGAGTAGACATTATAGGTACGGCCAAATATGACCCTTTTACACTTCCATTGTCTACTGGAACTCCCTTATGTTTTCTGTATTTAGATAGGAAGCAAGCGAGAAATTGAATGATTTGCTCCTGTTGATGTACCCAACTTCTTCATGAATATTGCTGGTTCTAAAACTTTGCATATAATGTGTCCTAGGTTTACAGGAATCCAACTACTGGCCTGGAACAGCTGTTTCTAACTCTGGGCACAGTGAGCAACGTGTGTTTTGTAGACAAAAAGGGTGTTCTAAGTTTTTCGATTCCGACACCGGACAAAGTATTCTTCTTTCGGAACTCAACGCAACATCGCAAACGCCTGTTTCACAACACAGCCTTATTTGAAACTAGGCGTCTACACCATCATCGCAGTTTTTCTTCCACTCCACAATTACCACCTTGTAAAGTACGGAACATCTTACAAAAGGAAAACCGCAAGGGTGTAAGTACCTCTTTATTGAAACGCATTATACTTCAAACCTATATTGAAAATTCATCTGGGCCTAGGAATAAAGGTGACCTTGCTCGAAATTCCCCTGTCCTAAAACTGACCCAAACGCGGACCAAAATCCTCCTTAACCTACAACTAACTCTGACTCCAACCTTTTCAGAATTTCACGCATGCCCATCTGTTTTAGCGTTCAAATACAAATTTAAAAGCATCCAAAACAGGGAGGCGTGTACTGTGAGAGGTAAACAAACCACCAATTCTTGACTTCTAGATCTATACCTCGTGAAACTGCATCTTCGCAGATTTCCTGTTATGATGTCAGGCCACGGGTGTACAGAAGAAAAGCAATTGTACCAGGCAGTGTTTTAGGTGCACGAGATTCCGCTTGCAAGTTCTCATAAGTGAAACAACTGCTACTGAGGTAGTCCATATTTCCGTGTCCTTAATTTAATCCAGCACTAGTATTAACCCTTCTTCATCTAATACTAACCCTAGCAATATCCATCTCGGAAATTTAGCTGAAGTTTATCTGTGTTAGCGAGCAGGATCAATATTGCCATGTGGAATCGAAAATTCTACTCGACGTCTAAGGTACCTTTATTCGTCTCCTGATTAGAAACATATACAGGGAATAACACGGACAAGCCCCTGGTAGCGGAAAATGTAACTGTGCAACTCTAGGTTGACGATTCCACTCTTTTATAAGACGCCCGTTTTTTATGTATTATCTATCACATTCAAAATGTTTCGACTGTTTACTTAAGTCCCTTTTTGCATTTTAGTCCCAGATCGTCCTGTCGGAAAGTTTTCACCCCCATAAATCTTCAGTCGACTCGGGTAATGAAGCGATGGGTCATCCCATTAGCGAACAGGTTTCCGGATCACGTCTTCTCCTTCAGCCCGCTAACTCACCCCTGACCCCGTTAACTTTGGACATCACAACTCCTTCCGATTTTATATATACGCTGAACTTTGTGACTCCTCGCTGGCACCACTTTCTTAGTTCTTTAAAGCCAATTGGTCTAAGTCTCTTGCTAAACAACTGCCAGCAGCATACACGCGAGCATTACATCGAGTTTGCAGACCATCTAGTGGCCATGACCACTTCACTGCGCCAACGAACAGTCGATACGATCTCTGTCGCTGGCCCCAATGACTCCACCAGCCGAACAAATCTAGCGCCGGTTGATGGTACAGGAGAGACCGTGGCTGTGGTGAATAGCCGTTGTTTATGTGGCCTTGCCTACAAGGTAGGTTTTCAGCGGACAGTGTTGGACCTGTTCTCCTTCGTGGCCAGCGTGGGCATATTCAAACCGATCGAACAGCCGTTGGTTGGGCAGCAGGCCTTTCGTCCGCCATCGGGAACATTTACTGACTGTGTCGAGTTCTGTTCCAATTTCCGTGCCTCTGAGTGTTCGCACGCCAAAGATGGGACTCGTGCTTTGCATATCCAGGAGGCCTATGCTTGTGCTCCAAAGGTGACATTTTGCTAAGTTTCTTTTCAATAAGTAAGCAGAAAAGCTTGTGTCAACTTTGCTTTCTAAGTATGGCCTACTTTCACGCTTTAAAATTTCGTCTCATATTGAGAAACTTCTAATTCACTCACATAAAATCCTTCTCATAAAATTATTGATATTTGCTCTAACTTTATGCATTCAGTTGTGTGAAGTGGCATTACTTTTTGCCTCGCGGAAGTAAGTAGTTATGAGCCATTCTTTTTTCACAAGTTGTGGATTCTATAAGCAATTTATGTTAGTTTTTCTTACTCAAGCTGTTCTCACCTCGAAGGGCTTCGAGATGGATGTGCGGACCACCCTTCAAACGTAATATTTTATTGTTTCAAGCAACAGGGTGATTTTATTTCTGAGTCTGTACCAAAATGTCTGTGTATGGACCTTGTTGGACAGTGAGGTTGAATATGGATGAAAATGCGTAAAGTCACCGACAGTTTGACTTTTCGTCATTTCCTAATCCACCAAAGACAAAATATAACGTGGATGAGAGTACTTCCCTTCACCTGTTGACCTTAGATTTAATGGATGGAATTGGAGCTCCTGGGCCACAACAAGGTAACCCACGACAAAATCGAATGATCCCACTGATCATAATCTTTTTGCATGGACATAGCATATTCCATAATTAGAAGTAATTTTCATTTTCACGAGATCATCGATTCGCAAAAATAAACAGTAACACAAGAGGAAAAGAAAAGAAAGCGAGCATTCCGGAAATACAAAGTAGTGACGTCGGTTCTACTGTCGTTTTTTCGTAAAAACAAACTGGCTGATAATTAGCGTGGATACTCTAGACAGTTCGTCCTGTCGAGTCATATTTAGGGAAACCGGGTATTATCTTCCCACCTCCGTATTAACGGAATATTTCATATGAAGTGACTGTTCGGATTAAAAAAGCTCACATTTCTACCATATGTTTTATTACTCCAACTAGGCACCAGAACAGACCACACAATTTAAAAGATGCGAATTAGCAGGTACTCCAGGACTACTTGTTAAGGAAGATCGGATGAGGTAAGAAGGCATGCAACAGGCAGCCTTAACTTTAATCACAAACCTAACCCTTTTCCTAGACCCCATCTTGAATCTAACCATAACTGCCACCATTCTCGCGAGTTTGACCATAAGCATAATTCAAACGCAACATGCCTACGTGAAAAGAAATAAGTAGGCATGTTATAATAATGAAACGTGGAGGCCGTATCTCTAACCGTCTTCCAATTATTGGAATTATCATTATTATTTATGCCCCTATCACAATTACTAGTACTTACTGATGTGGTACTTTCTTATTATCTGACCACAGGACGCATTCCGTGAGCCCATTCCAATGCCAAATTGCTTTTGCGTGATTACGCGTGACCGCAGTAGTGCGGGCTACCAGGTCTTCACCCAGGGCTCCGCAGACATTGTCTCAACCCTCTGCGAGAATGTGTGGGATGGCCGTGAGATCCTGCCCCTCACCGAGACAGATCGCGGCCGGATATTGGACTTCTACAATCGGAATGTCTCCACTGCGTACTGTGTTGCTTTCTCCTACACACCTCTCCTGCGTTCTCTGCCAATTCTGCCGTCCCGTCCACATGTATCGATCCCTAGTGATGCGCCTATTGAGGAGTTCACTCATGTTGCAGACACGAAGCCGACTAAATCGGTTGTTTTAGAGCTGCCCGTGGTGAGTTGATTAGCTCTCTTTAACTTGTCGGTGGTGAAGAACCACCTACTTACAAATTATAAGTAGGTCGAAATACCCACAATCTTCCAGTTTTCTGCAAGCCAACCGTCGATCCAGCAGAGATTGGATGATGGCATTGAAATACAGAGGGGTCTCTGGGAGGCCACCACACACAGTAACCACTTAAGTCAGTATAGTAGGCGTAAATGGCTTTTAAAATTAATCACGGGAATAATCGCCTACTTACAAATTTTAAGTAGTGCTTGTTTCAAAATCTTCAACTTTCTTCACTCGGTCGCATTGAATCTACAGGGTGCCCCACGAAAAACCCCTAAATTTATGATAATGTT